CTAGCCATCTTACTTTCTAAGGAGCATCCTGGTTGTACTTATTCTAACTTCTGTTTATTTTTCTGGCAGTCCATGGTACTTTTAATATTCTTCTCTAACACCCTAACTCAACTGCATCAGTTCTTCTATGGCCTTCCTCATTCATGTCCAGCGTTCACATGCATATGAGGCTAGTGAAAATGCCATGGCTTGAATCAGGGGCACCTTAACCTCAAATTGACATCTTTGTTGTTGAACACTTTTAAGAGGTTGTATGAAGCAGATTTGCCTAGTGCAGTATGTTGTTTGATTTCTCGACTTTTGCTTTCATGAGAGTTGGTGGATCGAAGCCAAATGAAGTCTTTGATAACTTGAATCTTTTCTCCATTTAGCATGCTGTTATTTATTGGTATAGTGGTGAGGATTTTTTGTTTTCTTTCCATTAAGTTACAACCCATACTTATGTGTTTTAAGTCCTCTTCATTTTCAGCAGGCAAAGTTGTATCATCGACATACCACAGGTTGTTTATGAGTCATCATCCTTCAATCTTGATGCTATGTTCATCTTCATATTATCCTGTTCCTTGGATTATTTGCTCAGCATACAAATCTAATAAGTATGGTGAAATAATAAAACCCTGGTGCACATTTTTCCTAATTTTAAACAATTCAGTGTTCCCCTGTTGTTCTATTTGAACGATTGCCTCTTGGTATATGTAAAGGTTCTTCATGAGCACAATTAAGCATTCTGGAATAGTCATTTTCTGCAATGTTATCCATAGCTTGTCCTGATCCACACATAGTCAATAAAGCACAGGTAAATGTCTTTCTGGTATTTTCTGTTCTTAGTCAAGATCCATCTGATGTCAGCAGTGATAGCCCTCATTCCAATCTGGCTTGAACCTCTGGCAGTTCTCTGCCAATTTACTATTGTAAATTTTTTTAATCATCTTTAGCAAAATTTTACTTGCGTGTGATACTAATGATATTGTTTAACGATTTCAATGTTCCATTGGGTCACCTCTCTTTGGAATGAGCACAAATATGGATCTCTTTCAATTGGTTGGTCAGGTAGCTGTCTTACTGTTGTTGTTAAGTGCTATGTGGTTCCAACTCTTAGCGACCCTGTTTAGGGTTTCCAAGTAGCTGCTTGGTGGGTTTGAACTGCTGACGCTGTGGTTCAACCGACCTTGCGTTTCAGTGCATTATCCTGCAGCACCACACCAGCATTCCCTCACTAAGCTGTCTTCTTAGTGAAGCTTAAATTATTTCCAAATTAATTGTAGATATAAGATATACATATCTGATGTCACAGACAACTCTGTACACAACAAATAAAATGATGTGTTACTATGGAGTCCCGGTGTGGCACTTTAAGATAAGCACTGGACCGTAAGGGTGTTTGGGTCACAAGGTTGGCAGTTCAAACTCAACAGTTGCTACTTGGAAGCCCATTACAGGGTCCCTATGAGTTGAAATTGACTTGACAGCACTTAACAACAACAAATGTGCTATTCTATGTATGGCCTACAGGTTTATCTTAGACTTTCTCTATTAAGATGATGAAGTTTGCTCCTTTCCCAGTAAAGGAGCATAAGAATACCTGTACAAACATTGAAGTGTTTTTTTTTGTTGTTGTTTGTTTGCTTTAATTTTTCTTGGCTGAAAAGAACAGAACTCACCCTCTTATACCTTCTCCAGCAACTAATAGAAATAATGAGAAGATATTCCTGTGTTAATTGTCTTTCTGAGGAGAAAAAGCACCTGTCCAAAAATTGGCCCAAGGAAACCCTGCCAAGTACAGCATTGTTGTTAAGCTTGTAAAGATCTAATATTCCTAAAACAGTGTTCTCACTGATGCGTGTATTTTGTAATAGGACCTCCAATGTAAGATAAGCCCTATTGATTTGTCCTACGTTGCTGCTATCATTGATCGCTTCAAGAGAAGAACTTTTACCCCTAGGTTTAAATCATCCTAGGTTTGATTTGTTCAAAAGTATAATTTTGGAAGCCCTTATCAATAATGGAGTCCTGGTGTGGTGCTGTGGGCTACTGCATCAAACTGCAAAGTCATTTAAACTGCAAGGTTGGTGGTTCAAGCTCACCAGCTGCTCCTTGGAAAGCCTATACAGGGTCATTGGGTCGGAATTGACTCGACAGCACTTAACAACAACAACAATATCAATAATGGAATCCTTTTATGGTGCTGTAGGATAATCACATGACCAAAAGGTTTGTTTGATCCCCAAGGTCAGCAGTCCAAACTTACCAGCCATTCCTCAGAAACCCTCTACAGGGTTGCTATGGGTCAGAACTGACTCAATGACATTTAAGAACATATCAATAATTATCTATAACTAAGAAAGATTTGCTTATTTCACATCTGTATGTGAATCTGTTTATAAGTTTATTTAACTACTGTAACTCTTCAATAAATAAGATCATGCTAAATGGGAAAAGATTGAAGTTGTCAAAGACTACATTTTGCTTGGATCAGCCATCAACGCTCATGGAAGCAGCAGTCAAGAAATCAAACCTGATATTGCATGAGGCAGATCTGCTGCACAAGAACTCTTTAAAGTGTTCAAGAGTAAAGATTGTCCCTTTGAGGACTAAGTATACATGCGGAAGTTGGACAATTAAAAAGTGCATTTGAGTGATGGTGTTGGAGAAGAATATTAAAAGTACCACCTACTGTCAGCAGAGCAAATTAATCTGTTTTGGGAAAAGCACAGCCAGAATGCTCCTTAAAAGTGACACTGTTGAGATTTCATCTCTCATTCTTTGCACATGTTGTCAGGAGAGACCATTCCCTGGAGACCATCCCTGCTTAATAAAATGGAAGGTCAACGAAAAAGAGGAAGACCCAGTGAGATGGATTGCCACCGTAGCAGCACAGTGGACTCAAACATAACAACAATTGTGAGGATGGCGCAGGACCAGGCAGTGTTTTGTTCTGTTTATAGGGTCACGGAGTCCGAACTGACTCGATGGCACCTAACAGTAGCAGCTTTCCTTGCAGCTTTTGCTCTCTTGATTTTTGTTGATTTGTTTGTTTGTTTGTTACGTCATTTCCAAAATGTGTTTATTTTGAGGCTCTTGAGTCCTTTTATGTAGTTTCCTCATTGGTACGTGAAAGGATATCATTTACAAAACTGCCCTCCAGTCACACGTTGCACTATGGGAAAAGCCCTTTTTTTAACTGACATCATTACTTGAACAAATGTCCACATGCATAAAGGCATACTTTAGTATCACGTGGGGGTACATATTCCCTAAACTTCAAACTTAAATGTGGTCTACGTCAAACTTCGCTGGTAATCTATTTGGCCTTCCATCTCTAAATTAACAGGAAGGTCTCCCACTGGCCATACTTTTCAGACTTTGGAGGAAGCATTTGGGGTTACACTTGTGAAGATTTGATTTGGGTTTATTTGTTTGTGAATGTAGCAGCTTACATTGGCATTTTTTGCTCACCTGTATTTTATCTCCTAACAGAGGTGAGTCACTATCATCTGTAGTTTTCAGAGTTGAGTTGACTGACTCCTGGGACAACCTATGTTAGTGTGTGAAAGAGACTTAGCAATCTGTAGCAGTGTTCTTGAAAGACTTCTGTGTTTTGTGCAGTGCCAGCACTTCAAATATTGCCAGAATAGAAGAGATGGAGAGACTTTTGAAACAAGCTCATGCAGAAAAAACACGGCTGCTTGAATCCCGGGTAAGCCTCCTAACTTTCTGCTAGAGGTCTGTGATGTATTGGTACAAAGAGCCCCGTGCTGGAATCAGGGAGCTCTCCTGGGGTCTTCATAAGCAGAGTAATATTGGAATAATTGATCAATCTTAACTTGGCCTCAGTTTGCCTATCTGAAAGCTTATATCTGAAATGCCTTTGAAAGGTTCTCTTTACGGCACTACACTTTTCCATGTCTTCATTTGTGTTGACATATGACTGAAGTGAGTGCTTTCTGTTGTATCTTCCCCTTGACTACTGCTTTGTTTTCGTTGCCAAGGAATTTGGAGGAATGCCAGGTTTGTGGTTTTCCCATTCTTGCCAACTTATCTTAACTCACTAGTACAGTACTAAGAATCCCACAGAATTCTAGCCAGCATCTGAACTTCCTTAGGAATCCCCCAGAATGCCTTTACATCCTGCCATAAAGGGCACCTCCTTTCCTTTTCTGATTCCCCCACGTGCTTCCTGCCGTGCAACCACAGGAACTGGAAGGGCTCATGGCCTTCAGTTAGAAGACAGCAATCAAAAGAAATGATAAATGACTAACGTTGGATTGCAACATGTAAAGCTCTTTTTTGAAAATGAGAGTGTTAGAGTTCTAGATGTGAAATAACTGAATATGGCCACTAGCTAGATTTTCCCCCTAAAGCCAATATTTAGTTGTTAATTAAACTCAGTGTTGCATTTCTGCATGTGATTATTTTGAAAGCTAACGGCTTGTTTGAGTTGGTTTATATGTTGTAAGAACCTTGGCTATAGACCAAGAATTGACCTGAGTGAATTTTATTTTGGGATGTTAATTGGAACCCTACCAGGATAACCCATGTGTTTTAACATAATTGTTCTGCATGATGATATTTAGGAACGGGAAATGGAAGCCAAAAAACGAGCTCTGGAAGAAGAAAAACGACGCCGAGAACACCTGGAAAGACGACTGCAGGAAGAAACTAGCCAGAGGCAGAAGTTAATTGAAAAAGAAGTGAAAATTAGGGAGAAACAAAGGGCACAGGTTGGTCCATCAATCTGGATGGCTAAGAGGAGGCTGCCCCCTAGTGGTCAGGTCACAGAGTGCAGTCTGTGTTTGAGGATGCTTTCTCCTGCTGCACCACGCATTGGCTGTGGACATTTAGTGGTTAGGTTGTGTGCTAGTGTGACAACAATGTTGTGTGGGTTCATTTCAAAACTCCGGAGACCTGATAATGTGTGTAAAGAATTCTGATACGAAAGGCACTTTTCTTCCATCCATTCTTTGGAATACTTTAAAAAGGACATTTTTTTCTTTTAAGACTTTTTTTTTAAATTGGAAACAAATACAAGACCCCAACTAAAATGTTTGGCTGAAGAGGGCAAGATGTTTATTAAGCCAGTTTTTAGAAGTAAGCATTCCAAAACAGCAGTTTTACAAGGTTGGTTTCTTGTTGTATTTGTTTTCTATCACATGCCGCCTTTACTACAGAAGTCCACAAGATTATGGGACACAAGCAGAGCTCAGGGAGACCATCTATTTTATTCAGCTTTGTAGCTTGGTCATTGGAGAGTTGGAAAGACTGTCACTAAAGAAAGTGTTTATTTTCTAAAGAACTAAATTATTAAGTACCATGTAATTTAAAGCTCAAATCAATTTTGCCGAGCTTTATGAAATATAAAAGATAAAAGGTATAATTTCCTTTACTCCTTATAGTTCTGACAGTTTGTTAGTAGTGCCATTAAAGACTGTCCTCACAACTCTGTGTACAATAACTTATCCATAAGCCTTTGTCCATAGTCAAAGTGGCAAAGAATCCAAGGTAAAGTATTGAATAAAGCTGGAAAAGAAAACCTGCTCATTTTATCTCTTTATGTCATTCCTCTACCAATCTTTGGTTAGCAGTGAAGACCATCCATGCCTGTGTGGTATCTGAAACAAAACCGAAAAACACAGGTCTATTTTATTTCCTATTAATATATGTTGCACCTGCAAACATGATTAGGTCATCTTCCTCAGGGCAGGAAAGAGTTAAGTATTTCACAGAATAAAATACAGTATCATTTTAGGACTATTGTATACAGTTTATTTTGCCCTAGCCATTGTAGTTCATTGTTGTTGATAAGTCACTTCCTACTTATAGCGATCCTGTATAGATAGGGTTTCCAAAGAGCAACTTTGCAGTTATCAGTCCCATACTTACCCTACAGTGCCACACCAGGACTCCATTAGTAAAATGAAAGGTGTATAAGTGTTGGTGTGGCACTGTGGGTTAATGCTCTGGACTGCAAGTTTGGTTCATACCACAAGCCGGCAGTTCAAGCTCACTAGCCGCTCCTTGGAACCCTATGCAGGGTCGCTATGAGTCAGAACCGACTCAACAGCACTTAACGACAACAAAGTGCATTCTGCATTCCTGCAGCCTCTGTAAAAAATATTCAACCAATCATATCGTTCCTGAGATTGCTTGAGGAGAATTAGTCTGGTAAATTGTGGCAGGGGCACCCCTGAGAACTTTATAATGGCAGAGCCCTCACCTGTAGGGAACAGTCCAGATAACCTCATGCTTCCTCTCCCTGTGCCTTGTTAAGTGCTGTGTGCCTTAAAGTTAAGATAAATGCATTTTTCCATTTCCTCATGTGCGTAGCTCAAAGAATAGAATTGATTGGCCTGAGTTTGCCCTCGTAATGTTATTTTTTTCCCCACATTGTAGCATTCTTCTCAAAATATTGTTTAATTTTTATTACCTCCAAATAAGTGCCTTTAAAAAAAAATCTAAACTCTTATAGTTACATGGGCACTTTAAAGCTTAGGTTTTTTTAGTTCATTTCAGCTTCTAAACATCTGGGTTTTGTACTTTTCCAGGCTCGACCTTTGACACGCTATCTGCCTGTCCGGAAGGAAGACTTTGATTTGCGAAGTCATGTGGAGACTGCTGGCCACAATATCGATACCTGTTACCATGTATGCATCACAGAAAAGACCTGTCGAGGATACCTCATAAAAATGGGAGGGAAAATTAAAACTTGGAAGAAACGTTGGTTTGTTTTTGATCGGAACAAGCGAACATTCTCTTATTATGCAGGTAAGTGGTAAAAAATGTTAAGTGGCATATTCACATCAGGAACTCGCTGTTTGTTAAAAGAATAATAACAATGGAAATTCAGCGAAAATCAAATAAACTGGTAACATAATAGAATTAATGATAATGTTAGCTTTGTAGATATATGTTATTTTATATTCATATATATAATATTGTTGTTGTTGTTAAGTGCCGTCGAGTCGATTCCGACCCATAGCCACCCAGTATAGGGTTTCCGAGACTGTAAATCTTTACGGGAGCAGAAACCCTCATCTTTCTCCCGCGGAGTGGCTGGTAGTTTCGAACTGCTGACCTTAAGGTTTGCAGCCTGATTCGTAACCACCACGCTACCAGAGTTCCTTATAGTATACATGATATGAATTTCCTTTCTAGAATTAATAGAAATCTGATTACTTTTAAAAGTATGAAATAGTCTATTCTACTTGTGAAATAAATTCAAGTCCAAATATATATTGAGTAGACTTTTCCTTTCAGATCAAAATGTTACCTATTAAATTGCAAGGCAAAGAAAAAGCCATGCTGTTTAATTAATTTATTTATCCTTGGCCATATGCCCAACTCAAGTCACACACAATTAGGTGGCCTTAGCCGACAGTTATTCTGCTATAGTTTATAAACTGGAATGCACAGAGAGAACGAAGCTCATCAGTAAACTCGTGCATAAGTAAGTGTTTATTAAGTGACTGAAATATTTTTGGATTCTTTAAACAATAGATAATTACAAACATGCTCTACTGAGTGCTACATAAACACCGGACTATGAATGTATCTATTGTACTTATCCTTAAATGGATTCTGACTCATCGTAACTCTATAGGACAAAGTAGACCTGCTCCATAGGCTGTGAGCTTTATGAAAGCAGACTGTCATTATAAAGTGTCTGGTGGTTTCGAACCATTGACTTTTCAGTTAACGTCCAAGTGCTTTAACTACTGCATAACCAGGGCTGCTCATATATTACCCAAACCCACTGCCATCTAGTCCATTTGGACTCTTGGTGACTCTTGGTTTCTAAGTTTGTAGCTCTTTACAGGAACAGAGAGTCTCATCTTTCTCCCGACGGGTCCATTGCCTCTCCTACAACACCGCACTAGGGCTCATTCCTTACCTCTCCTGTTGACTCATGGATCACAGTATGTCCAATGTTAGCAGACATATAGCTCAGCTGTCTTTTCAGCAGCTGAGGAAGAACAGGATCATTTCAGAGGTAATGAAGAAACCTTGCTTTCATGAGCATGACCAGAAATTGGTATAAAGCACATCTATGTGGCACTGTTGTTCCGTGGGAGAAAGATGAGGCTTTCTGCTCCCATAAAGATTTACAGCCTCGGAAACCCTGTACAGGGTCGCTGTGAGTCAGAACCGACTCCACAGCACACAAAAACAACAACAACATGTGGCGCTGTGAGTTAATGATCTGGACTGCAAAGTTGGTGTGACCCACAAGGTCAGCGGTTCAAGTTCACCAGCCACTCCTCAGAAACCCTACACAGTGTCAGTCAGAACTGACTTGACAACACTTAACACCACCACCTGTAATAAATATAAAATAATTATTTAGTCATTGCATGTGCCGTGTAAGGTTAGATTATGCAACGAGGTGTGAGAAACCAAGAAGCTTGTGGAAGTAAGCAAGTGCTGGCTATGGTGTCCCAGAAAGGGTAGGGGGATGCACACCTTTCTGTTAAGTGTTCTCTGGGTGAGAGTCCAGTTACTGCAGTAGCTAGTAGCCTGAACCAAATGACCTACCCCTCATTTGTTGTTGTTAAGCGCTGTCGAGTCAGTTCTGTCCGTAACAACACTGTATAGGGTTTCTGAGGGGGGATTGGTGAGCCTGAATCACCTTGTGGTTCAAACGACCTTGCAGTCCAGCACACTAACCCGCAGTGCCACACCAGGACTCCTTAAGTCTCCTGTTTTGTCTCTTTACTTTTGACTTTGGATTTTATAAAAATCCAGAGATACTCTTTTTTCAGTTAGCTTAATAGGAAAGATGCATATTGAATAAGAAATGCCAATATATAGTGTCTGCAAAGTATATAAATGAATTGCTGCTGCATGCTGGTCTCCACAGACAGCCTACCCCTTTGTTGTTGTTGTTGTTAAGTGCTGTCAAGTCGGTTCCGACTTATAGCGACCCTGTATAGGGTTTCCGAGGAGCAACTGGTGAGCTTGAATTGCCAACCTTGCAGTTCAGATGGCTTTGCAATCTGGCACATTAACCCACAGTGCCACATCAGCCTATCCCTAGAATATATAAAAACCACAGTTTTTCAATAACTTCAGACACTAGAGTCACAATCCTCTGCCCTGGTCCTCTCCTTTGTGAGCTTCATTGTATTCTTTCATCCATCAGTCAGCTGAGTGGTTCACGGGCCCTCTTATGCTTTGTCTGACCTATGTAAATATGTTTCTACAAGGATTAAATTCTCAGTGACTGGTTTTCAATATTTCTAAATACCAAAACCCTTTTGGTGTATGAAAGATTTATCTAGGATCCCAATGAATACAGCCAACACTAATGTTATCATATTAACACAGATTTAAATTCCGTTTTTTAATATTTGCATATAATCAGAATCAACCCCATGGCGGTGGGTTTGGGTTATGTAGCTATAACTGACGTGTGAGATGCAGTGAGATAAATGGTGTCCATTCAGCTCTATTACAACCCTCGTGAGTTTTGTGTGCACTTGCTACCTTCAGCCCCACTATTTGTGAAAACTTCATAATCATGGGAATGTATTATTCCACGGGCAGTCATCCAATTGCAGTTCTGGCTGTCTTCCATTCCACAAGTGTCACGTGCCTTCACAGCCAAATATCAGCATCCATGTGTATGTATGAAGAAGCTGTAGGTGCTAATAGTTACAGTGCTAGGTCTCAGTGTGTTTACGACTCTTGTCTCTGGGATTGGCCTCACTGCATGCAAGCATATTGACAGGGTCACTTTAAAAGAGTCATTAGAAAAGAAACAAAGTCGTAGAATCTGCAGGTCTGTAAATTGATGTGCTATTGCTATTTCAATAGAATATATAACATTGTCAATTCAAATTACACTCACATTGATGCTCTCATCTCATTCTGTGGCTGTGGGCTTATGTTTTTCAGAGTTCTTCCTCATATATAAAGTTCTACCTCATATATAAAGTGCCACACCAACAAAAGTTTTAATCTTCAGTTTCTTGCCTGCTTGAAATAGTGACAAGATTTACTCAGTTATCTCTAGATTTTGGTTGTGATCAACACATTTTTGGAAAAAGTATTGTTACTGTTTGTTTGTATGCCGTTTCTCTTACTTTTGCTGATCAATGTTGCCAGAGGGTTTTCTAATTTAAAAGTTTTTAAAAAAATGAATGTTTCTCTCAACTCTAAAAAAAAAAAAAAAAAAGTGTATTATTGATTATTGTCTTCCCACGAATTACTGACAAGTCCTTTCATGAAAATGTTTGATGGGTACACTCACACTCTCTTTTATAGAAACTGGTTGAAATCCACAGAATATGATATTAATTAAAACAGTATTTCCCAAGGAAGAGTAAACATAAGCACACAATTATGGTCTGTGCTCACATCAGTTAGGGAAAGCTTGGTTAAATAGATTTAAACCGATTTCTTTTCTGCTAAACATTTTAAGGCCTTTGTATTTCAGACTATCTTTTTATTGTGTTTAGTGGCGAGGGGGATATTCACTTTATAAAAATTAAAAACACAACAAAAGTCTATTTAATGAAAGTAACTTGCTGTCCCATCACGAAAGTTCTAACATTTTCCCATTGTTCAGTCTGAAATATTCTTTCACATATTATTTTCTTTATAGACATGAGATCAAATTTTTCACCCTGTTTACTCCTTTTCTTATATATTTTTTTCAAGGTTTCTTATTTTTGTTGCCTTATTGTTGTTGGAGTCCTGGTGCGGCGCTGTGAGTTAAGGCATCAGACTGCAAAGCCGTTTGAACTACAAGGTCGGTGGTTCAGGCTCACCAGTCGCTCCTTGAAAACCCTATATAGGGTCGCTATGGGTCAGAACCGACTTGATGGCACTTAACAACAACAATTGTTGTTGTTAAGTACCTTTCCTTCTGTTCCAATTCATAACGATCCTGTGTAAGATTTCCAAGAAGCGGCTGGTGGGTTTGAACCACCAACCTTGCAACTGGCAGACCAGTGCTTATCCTAAAGCATTATACCAGGAACCCTTTTTCCTTATGTTGTTTTTGTTAAGTGCCGTTGAGTTGATTCCAATTCATAGCTACCCCCTATCAGGTTTCCGAGGCTGTAAATCTTTGCAGGAGCAGAAAGCCTCATCTTTCTCCTGCAGAGCTGTAGGTGGGCTTGTGAATCACAGACCTTGTGTTTCAAAGTCAGAGCTACCACGTTCCCTTTTTCTTTACATTGTTGTTGTTGTCGTTGTTAAGTGCCAACAAGTGGGTTATGACCCATAGCAACCCTGTATAGGGTTTACAAGGAGTGACTGGTGGGTGTGAACTGTCAACTTTGTGATTATCAGTCCAGAGCTTACCCTAGAGTGCCACACCATCGACCTTATTCTTTTCAGTATCTGTGGAAATCTATTGTATGGCTGGTCTGTCACTGAAGTGGTCCCCTGTAAACACTCAAGCGGCCAGTTTACAGCCTATAACAAGCATGTGTCCTTGTGCATGAGTACAGCCTATACCATAAGTTGTTAGAAATGGAATTACTGAGTTGGAGGATTTGTACACTTAAAGTTTTACCAAATTCCCTTCCAGAAGGGGCTTTCTTATTAATACTTTAACCAACAGGGTGTGACAATCTCATTTCCTGCATTCTCATCGATACTTTTGAAAGCTCTTTAGCACACTCACTTGGATTAGGATCCTTGCAGAGTTTACATTGCAAAATATTTTAAGAGTTTATTAGATCCTAAAGTAGAGCTGTATATTTGCTTCGTTGGTGTTTCAATTTTTTTGGTTTTATTTCATTCTGTTTTAATGGCAAAGCTATGTGGGAAATATTACCTTGAAAGGATGTTAAATTACTGGCATGAAACTCTATTGTGAATAGGAAAAAAATTGACACCAGTATCCCGGAAGAGAAATTTGATAGAAAATAAATATAAGTAAAATATTATTTTTAAATTTACGAAAGCACACGTAAGATGTGTTTACAATAGATTTGTGTATTAGTACATCCATTACAGGCACTCTTGGAATGTATAAAAAGACACTGTGTATTGTGCCGACAGTGCTTATATCTGATGCACTTAATCTGAGAGTCAATCGTTCTAAGCAATCGTTTGTCTGCTAATTTACAAAGTCACTTGGTCCCTTTTTTGGGGAAGCCAATGATTCAATTTTTTTTTCAAATTAAATGGGATCATGCACTATCCCAGATGATCTTAATTAATCTTAAATATTTTAAATACTAGGTGACTATATTTTGGGTTGTTGTTGTTAGGTGCCATCAAGTCGATACCAACCCATAGCGACCTTATGCACAACAGAACAAAACACTGTCCAATCCTGGGCCAACCTCACTACTGTTGCCACGCTTGAATCCATCGATGCTGCCACTTGGCCAGTCCATCTCATTGGGGGTCTTCCTCTTTCTCTGGCCTTCCACCTTACCAAACATGATATCCTTCTCCAGCGACTGGTCCCTCCTGACAATATGTCTGATGTATGAGAGACAAAGTTTGTACATCTTGGCCTCTAAGGAGCACTCTGGCTGCACTTCTTCCAA